TGTGTCTGTGTGTCTGTGTGTGGTCATGGCATGTGTTTAGGATCAAAGGACAGCTTCTCCCCTTCCACCACACAGATCCTGGGGATGGAACTCAGGTTGCCAGGCTTGATTGACCTCAGGTGTCTTTACCTGCTGAACCGTCTCATCAATCTGGCAGTTTGGTTTTGGTTTTCCCAAGACAGGATATGTAACAGCTCTGGCTGTCCTGGAACTCACTTTGTAGACCAGGTTAGCCTCAAACTCACAGAAACCCGCCTGCCTCTGCCTCCCAAGTGCTGGGATTAAAGGCGTTCAACACCATGCCAGGATCCTGGTAGTTTTCTTAAGTGGAACTTAGAAGTGAATCTATCTCTAGGTCAGTGAGGGCTATGCAGAAAAACCCTATCTTGAAAAACAAACAAACAGAAAATAAGTGAATTTATCTAGAGCGGGGGTGGGGTCAATGTATTGTGGGGCTTGGCGGCTGGATGGGATAACAGCCCTCATGCCCTTACAGGACAGGACAGGAGCCTGGCAGGCACAGGCCGTGGCCACCCTTGAGGAGGAGCTTTGGAAGGCTTTGGCCTGACTGAAGCTTGGGCCTGCAAGTGATCTACCTTTATGCTGCATTCATTCCTGGGGTATTGCTCACAGGTCGAGGGGCACACTCACCTACAGGAGGCCTGGGCCAAAATGTGCTTTGGGGGCAGCTCTGAGTGGTTCTGGAAGCTCTGGGGTAGGTAGAGGTGGGCAAAGTCACTGCTCATATTCTGCAGCTGACTTCTAGGCCACTGGCTCCCCGACCTCCCACAGTAGCTACAAGGCTATGCCTTACTTCTCACTCAGATGGTCAGAATAGAGAGCGGCAGCAAGGGACTCCTCCCTACTCCAGATGGCTGGAGAGGCAGACTGACCAGCCTGAGTGAGCTTGTGGCATCAGCAAAGCCACGGAGGGGAGTCTTTACACACCTGATTCTACTCTGAGCAACTCTGACACTGAGGACATTTACAAGACTTTTCCTAAACCTACAGACAGGAGCATATCCCCACTTCCTCCCCATCCCCGGCACAGAATGTTAATAACTCTGGCCTCCTGCTCTCAATGTGTTGTCAGAGCAAGGGTTTCTTGTCGTGATGAGAACAGTGATGAGGCCAAAAGGAAACTCTCTACATAGTCTTTTGGCATAGTTTCTAACAGGTGAAATCTTCTTTAATTTTTAAAAAATTTATTTCATGTGTATGAACGTTTTGCCTGTATGCGCTTATATGCGGCATGTGCATGCAGTACCCAAGGAGGCCAGAAGAGGGCATCAGATTCCCTTGGAACTGGAGTTACAGCCGGTGTGTGAGCTGCCTTGTGGGTTCTTGGGAACTGAACCCAGGTCCTCTGCTCTTGAAGTAAGTAGCAGGTGCTCTTAACTGTTGAGCCATCTCTCCAGCCTGCAGGTGAAATTCCTTACCTGGCCTTGAACTGAAAACAAAAATCCAAGAAGAAATGAACTTCTTCCAAGGAATGACTGGCCCAATCCTGTTTAATCCAGATCAATCTCATTCTGAAGAAAAATGGGGCATGGCTGGGATTTCTTGGGAGGAAACTAGACAATCAACCACTGCGTTTGACCCCCCCAGGTTGTTTCGCTCCCAAATGCACCAAGATTTCATCAAACTGTCTTTCTGTCTCTATAGAGCATGTTCTGAGCACCTCTCCTGGGGAGTAGAGGAAGCCCTAAGTGAATGAAGTTCTGGATGAATGTGTGCTGTGGACATGGATGGGCACAGCCACGTCAAGGGCCCGAGCCTCAGACCCTTAGGAAAATGGCAAAGCCTTCCCCTGACCCCCAGGGTGATGACCCAGAGGGATGGAAAGGCCTTCCTTGGGGGTCTGAGTGTGGCTGTTGGTAGTGTGTGCAGAAGATGTCCACTACAGCTTTCTTCCCCGAGGTATTTAAGGCCTGAAGACGACTCCCCTAAGGAACTGCTCCTACCAAGATTAGCTCAACCTTGTTTAGCTGTGTTACAATAACCCTGCCTCTCCCTTCAACTCTATATAATAAACCTGCTGATCGCCCAGGGTGCTGCAGTTTCTCCAACAGAGAGCCTCACCCACATGGTCCCAGCTCTTCTGTCTGTCAGTCTGTCTGTCTGTCATCTTTTTTTCATTCCCTCACAACCCCAGTCAGGTAGGTCTGTCCCGGGAGCAGTGCTGGACACAGCGTTCCCCCCATTTCCACACAGTGTTAATACGCTCCACACATGCATAAACCCTCCCGGCTCGCAGACCCTCCATAGCTAGCCAACAGGGGCACAGGCAGAACGGTGACTTCCAGTCCCCCGAGGCTGTTCTCCCTGTCCGTGACCCTCATCTCCAGGCCTTGTCTATTGTTTTGAAGCACCTGCTAAAGCAAAGTAGAAAGACCCTGACTGATTCCAAGAGATTAAAAAATAAAACCACTGGTTTGTAGCGACCATTGCACAGTAGTGCCCAGTTTCTGCCTCTACTGCAGTCAGCAAGAGGATTCCATCCTTCTGCAGATCTGCATGGTAACCTGAGTCACATACCAACTAGCAAGTCTTCATTCATGACACATAAGAGAAATGTTACATTTTTCATGGCCACATAGCCAATAACCAAGAATCGGTGATGAGACCCTCCATGTCATTCATGTGGCCCTTGTTCCTCTCTGGGATCCCCTTGATCCCCTCCCTCTGTCCATACATCCTATTGACAGGTCCCAGACACAGGACCTGGGCTGGCAGGTCCTCATCTAAGACTTAGCATTTCCACACTCCCTCCTGGATAGGGTCCCCATGACCCTCTCCTATGGCTGTCTGTAGTGTACAGGGCCGGGGCTGGCAGTGCTCTCCACCCTTTTCTGCTCCAACTGAAGAAAGCATGTGATGTCATTGAACCTCCTATAAAAGGTCACACACACACACACACACACACACACACACACACACACACACACACCCTGTCACTCAGACACAGCTGACTTCAGAACCAGCTTCTCACGTATACATACCCTCCAGCCAGGCTTCTAGAAGCTTAGCCTGGAGAGGCCATCTTGGCTGATATGACATTGGGTTAGAGGTGTGCAGAAGAGGTGTGGTTTCTCAGGATTGGTTAAACAGGCATGTGAGCCAGACCTGCAGAGTCGTTTCCTCATCATATTAAAGTAGGACCAGGGAGGTGACTCTGCTCTTAGCATGCTTTACCACTCCTCAGGAAAATGTGCCAAGGTTTAGTTTTCCTTGACAGGAATATCCCTGAAAGCCAGCTCCAGGGAAGCAAAGATTGTGTCTGCACCACCCCCCCAGCAGAATAGAATGTCTGTGGGTGTGGACCTGGACAACAGACTAAGACAGCATTTTTCAAATGGGGTGCCATGGAACAGCAGCTCCTCTCATGCGCCGTGAAGCAAGTGTGAGGGAGGCTGCCAACTCATGCCCGTCTTAGAGCTCCGGATGCCCCTGAAGATGCTAAGAGCTTATACTAAAGGACCACTTGATCGTCCAGCCCAGCATTTGTTTGAAGTATTTGGCCAAGAGGTTTGCTCTCCACCAAATACTGTGAATTTGCAGTAAGTTTGAGGCCCTCTTTCCTCCTGGCCCAGAGCCTCGGCTTCCGCCCAGCACCACGAGGCAGATGGCCTGAGTGTCTCCAAGGTCCTCCTACTCTGCTGTTTTTCTAGGCACAGTCAAAGGCTGGCTCCCTTCCCATCTCACTAAAGGTTCTGGACTTAGAGGAACCAAGAGGCTAAGGCTGTGGCATAGTGAATGCTGGGATACCCATCAGGATGCTGGTGCCACCGTGTGTGGGTCTTAATCTCACCCACCCTACCTAGGGCTGCAGCACAAGTGAGCATCTCCTGGAGGGGCTCCAGAGGGGAAAGAGCAGCGTGATGATGGGATGGCCCACAGAAACACTGGCCATCCGCCAGCTCGCCCCACTCCTGGGAGGCTGGGTGCTTCTGGCTTCTTGGTTGGTAGGATCAGACAGGTGAGCCTCCCCTTTCTCGATCACACCGTTCTCAATGTGGAACAGCTGACACTTACTTAACTGATGGGTGTGGGGATGGGTCTGTTTCTCATCACAGATGCAATCATCACGAGCATGCACGCCTCCTCAGGAAGCCTCCACATTCCAGGAGCGACTCCAAACGCACTGAGTCATCGCCCCACACCAGCAGCTCCTTCCTCGGAATCTCACACTTACCTCTCGAAAACCACACATCCCACACCCACAGCACCTCACAGCATATATAGACCCTGACCTGTTAACAATTATTCTCACTTATCCCCCTCCCACATGGTCCAAACAACTCCAGCTGCTGATAAATCCCAGGGGCTGCCCACAGTAGCTGCTCTATCCTGTCCAAACAGTCTTTGGGGGAAGAAGCAGAGACTTCTGTGGGTTACCCCGTTGGGGTACAGGATGCCTGGAAACCCACTCAGTGCATTTCAAAAGTATGGCCCTAATTTAGCTAATACATGGGAGCCCCCAGCCTCTGGGTCACCAAAGGGACCCGCCAAAGGCTCTGTTAGGCATCCCACTCCAATGCAAAGCATTCTGAACAAAGCCATGATGGAGATGTGAATCGACAGTGCTTTGGGGTGAGGAGGCTACGCTCATGGCTATAGTCCTGAAGGCTAGCCCTTGGGAGAGAAAGACAATGCTACCCTTGGAAATGCTTGGCTTCTACCACAAAACTGGGGAGGACAGTCTGGTCCACCCGAGGCCCCCAGATACCTGGAGCTGAAGCCCAGAGAGGAGCTGTCCAGAGTTCTGCTGGAATGCAGTTCCTACACCCTCCTAGAAGTTTGATCCCCTTACCAGCACCCTCTCCAGGGCTGTCAAGGAGAGAGGCAGACCCAGGAATAGGGGAATCTGACCACCCTTGCAGGCATGCATGGTCATCTCTAACAGAGTAACCACTGGGACAAGTTGTCCATAAGATTTTCTTTTGCCCTCTCCAAAGGCCATTTTTTTTTTTTTTTCAGGCTAAAATTAAATCAGGTTTATCGCTTCTCAGCCTTTTGGCTAAGATCAAGTGTAAAATTAAACCAGGTTAAAAAAAAAGCTCTAAGTTTGTGTGTGTGTGTGTGTGTGTGTGTTTCATTTGTTTTGGTTTTTTGATATAGGGTTTCTCTGTGTAGCTCTGGCTGTCCTGGAACTCACTCTGTACATCAGGCTGGCCTTGAACTCAGAGATCCTTGTGCCTCTGCCTCCCACCACTGCCAGAAGTATTTTTATTTTTATGAGTACAGGTATTTTCTTGCATGTATGTCTCTGTGAACACTGTGGAGAAGGCATTGGATCCCCTAGAATTAGAGTTACAGATGGTTGTAGGCCATTTTGTGGGTGCTAGGAATTGAACCCCAGTCCTTGGGAAGAGCAGATGCTGAGCCATTGCTCCAGCCCTATTTAAGTTTTTGGGGTATAAGAATCTCTCAGGAGATCTGGGGCCAGAACCTGCCATCTGACTCCACATCTTGGGGCCAGTACCACCACCACTGCTACCACCCCACCCCTCATCATCAGGGGTACATAGACACTGGTGACTAAGAAAACAGCCATGGTCAGGGTTGGCAGAAAGAAGGGAAAAGCAGAGGAGGGGTGCCAAGGAGGCACTGGCCGATGCAGGGGCACAGAGGGTGGTTACCTGGGTGAGATGAGGGTTGGGGTTGAACCCACATTGGTTGCAGACCTTGTTGTGACACTGGGTGCAGGTGTTGAAGTTTGGCTGGCTGGAGGTCGACGTGAGGTCCGAGGTCTTGCATATAGGACACAGCGTACTGCTGGGAAGGGGAGCGATCTGGGGCACGGAGTAGGGTGATGTGGGAGTGCTGCCTCTGTCCGGTGACACTGAGGGGGACCGTCCCGATCTCTGTGTCCTGCTGTCTACCTGGAGCGTCCGGCGGGGACCATCGGCCTCCTGGCCTGACGGGCCTTGAGCCCTTGTCTCTCGGGGGCTCTCTCGGCCTGGAGCAGCAGCAGAAGCTTGCTTTGGGGTCGGAGAAGCTGCTCTCTGGCTACCCAGGGGCTCCTTGGGGTCCAGTCTCCGGGAAACGCTGAAATGACATTGAAAATGACTGTTGGAGACACGTCCTATAGACATACGTGGCTTACATAGGTCCCTTCCAACCTAGAGTGACCCCAGCTCCATCACTGTCCTCTTTCTCTTGCACAGTGACATCATCACAGTCGCCATTTACTGTACCCTGTGCTACAGCCCTGACGAGCTTCCTGGCGTCAGGCCAATGGCAGATGGACACGACGGTCCTCTTTCACACCCCGAGGAAGGGCAGGTTCTAGTTAGGAGTCTAGCAGTGCAACACACGTGGGCTGGACTTGTCTGCTGTGTGACACAGAGCCACACGAGGCCCAGGCTGGCCTGGGATTCATCCTGTGTCTAAGGATTACCTTGAACTTCTGATTCCCCTGCCTCCACTTCTAAAGGGCTTGGATTACAAGCAGGCACCACCATACCCAATTCATAAGTTCTGGAGACCAAACCCAGGGCTTTGGACATGTTAGGCAAGTAGTCTACCAATGAAGCTACAACCCCAGCCCCGGGACTGCACTTTTTAAACTTTATTTTTATTTATGTGTCTGGGTGCTCTCCTGCGTGTGTCTGTCTGTGTACCACTGTGGCAGTGTACACAGAAGCCAAAAGAGGACACTGGATCCCCTGGTTGTGAGCAGCCATGTGCGTACTAGGAATCAAACCCAGGTCCTCTGAAAAGCAGCCAATGCTCTTAACCAATGTGGCAGTTTGAATAAGAATGGCCATATATTTGAATGCTTAGTCACCAGGGAGTGGCACTATTTGAGAAGGATTAGGAGGTGTGGCCTTGTCGGAGGAAGTGTGTCACTGAGGCTGGGCTTTGAGGTTTCCAAAACCCATGCCAAGCCCAGAGTTTCTCTTTCTTCCTTTCTCTCTTTGCCTCAAGATCAGGATGTAGCTCTCAACTGCTTCTCCAGCACTTGCTTCCCTGTCAACAAGCTCCCCGCTGTGATAATGGACTAAACCTCTGAAAACTATAAGCAAGGCCCCAATTAAAAGCGCTCTCTCTCTCTCTCTCTCTCTCTCTCTCTCTCTCTCTTTCTCTCTCTCTCGTTTTTTTGACAGGGTTTCTCTGTGTAACAGCCCTAGCTGTCCTAGAACTTTCTCTGTAAACCAGGCTAGCCTCGAACTCACAGAGATCCACCTACCTCTGCCTCCTGAGTGCTGGGATTAAAGGTGTGCGCCACCATGCCTGGCAGATGCTTTCTCTTATAATAGTTGCTGTGGTCATGGTGTCTCTTCAGAGCAATAGAGCGTGACTGAGGTGGCCGATGAGCCATCTCTGGCCCAGGACTGCACTGGTAAGAAATCTCGAGCTGATGCCAATGTCCTGCTCTGCCCATTCCTTCCGGAGACCCTCCAGTAAGCCCTGTGCCCAGGCAGTCTAAGATGGCAATGTTCCTTTTTTCACTGGTGTGAGGCTGGAGTGGGCTTCAAATCCAGGCTTTGAGGAATCACTGAAGGAGGCCCAATGTCCCTGACGCCATGTCCACCCCAGTACAACCCGTCTGCAGTTAGGTTGACCCATGGGGGAAAAGAAACATTCAGGCTAAAATTGCATTTCCCAAATTCCTTCTTTGGACCAACTTAAGTTCATTTCTGCCAGTTTACCTCTTTTCCAGTTTGAAAGAGGGTGAGCACAAAAAGTCAAAGACCAAGTTTCCTGTTGCTTTCCAGAACATTCTAGACTGGCTTTGGCCTGTATCCTTTTGGTGGCTGCTGATAGCAAAGGGACAGACCGGGTTTGCTGAGGCTTCACTTACGTAGCCCACACTGGCCTCTAATTCATGGCTTTGCCTCCACTATGATTATAGGTGTGAGCTACTATGACCAGATCAGAGTGACTTGCTTGTTTTTCAAGACAGGGTTTCTCCATGTAGCCCGGGGTTATTCAAGAATTCCGCCTGCCTCTGCCTCCCGAGTGCTGGGATTAAAGACGTGCACCACCACCGCCCGGCTCAAAGTGACTTTTAAACTCAGTGATGAATCACAGTTTAGCCTTTCTTAGAAATTTTATCCATACTGAGGGCCTGGAACGAACTGGCACAGCCCTAGGAGAAGACTTGTGCAGGCTTGTGCCCACTGCATCCCAGGGCCCAACTGAGCTCCCACTGGGTAGATACGCAGTGAGCACACAAAATGAAAAGGAAGATGTGTGACTATGTGGTGAGCTCAGGAAGCAGGGCCCGATCGGGGCAGTGACATCATTCAGTTCTGAACATTTCACATGGAGCTCGCTTAGCAACATGCTCATAGGAAACAGATCCAACAACAGCCTGCCTGCCTGCCTGCCTTCCTTCTTTCCTTCCCTCCTTCCTCCCTTCCTTCTTCCCCTTCTTCCCCTCCCTCCCTCCCTCCCTCCATCCCTCCTTCCTTCCATTTGTCTTTGTTTCAGTTGTTCACATTCCCCGACTTTGCTGTGGGTCCTCTGACCCGTTTGGGATCTTGTAGACATATCCACCTTCAGACTATGGGCAACAGGCAGTAGCACTGCGCTGAGGAAGCTATGAAAGCAGCCCGACACAAAATCATGAGCTTGTGTGAAACAGCATGAGGCTTCTTTCTGGGAGTTTGTGTGTGGAGGGGCACTAGACTGATTGGCTCCTGAGTGACCTTTCTGGATGACAACAGGAAGACAATGTCAAAGGGTAGGACGCACCTGAGTTGATAAACTCCTACAGCGCAGGTCAGGTCGCCAGGTGCCCACAGTTACTCTTTACACATATACATATTTTATAAGTCTTATATTCTTTATGAATACCTGCTGAATATTTCATTAAAATGAATTTTTCAAAAAGTAAATCAGACAGGGATCCAATCCTCTGGGGTTGGAAACAGATGTGCAAACAAATCCCTGCAAGACCCACGGCCACAGTCCTGAGGAAGACGATGAGACCTCCACATTGGCCTTAGAGGACAAGGCCCTCTCCGAGATTGACCAGCAAGCTGGCCAGAAGGAAGATGCATACGAAGGCCCAGAGGGGCTGAGGGCATGCTCAGTATGGGTGGAGGGAGGCACAAGTACTTCAGATGCAAATCATTATCACTCCCACCACCACCACCACCACCAGAGAACCGCTCCTATAGCACTGAGTGTTCAGTTTTCATTGAGAAGCTCAAAATGAATATGGGGACAGCCGGGCCAGCAGAGCCTTTAAGGTTTCCCAACAGAGGTGCATTTGGGCTCTGTGGCCCAGAGAAGATGATGAAGGCAGGAAATCCAGTGAAAAGGAAGAACTGCCCGGGAGACAGTTTATAGAACTAGAGGGCAGAAAGATACAATGAAGGACAATCCTGCTTTTCACTCACCTGGGGGATCCAGAGAAGGAAGCCTTCAGGGGTGGGAGTGCAAAACCAAAACCAAAAGTCTGAAGATTGTGAGGAGCAGGAGAAATCTTACAGCGTGCCTCTAGGTATTTTTATCTGAGAGAGTGAGTTCATAGGCAATTCTCGGGAACACAAGTCACCCAGAGAGTAGTGGTCCAGTTAAGCACGCAGGGATCCAACGGCATTCACGGACTCAGAGGAAAGCCCGGAAATAGAGCAGTCAGAAAAAAGACAGAAGAAAATGACCTCAGATAGCTGGGCATGGTGGCGAACACCTTTAATCCCAGCACTTAGGACGCAGAGGCAGGGGGATCACTGTGAGTTTGAGGTCAGCCTGGTCTACATAGTGAGTTCCAGGACAGCCAGAGCTACATAGTGAGACCCTACATCAGAAAAAGAAAGAAAATGATGCCACAGGGTTAGAGCCTCCCACATTAGAGAGCAGTCAACAGTGCCCTGAGGAGAGCTGAGTCTCCATACCTGAGGCTCAGTTGCCAGAGAAAATGGCTACACCCGTGAAGACCACGCACCGTACCATGAAAACCCAAGATCTCCCCAAACCCCGTACAGTTCCTCCTCCTGCTTACAAAGGTCCCAATACAGAGCTCAGGAGTCACGGCCATCTGGACATGGATCCCAAGACAGCCCAAGCAGAAGGGACACCCTGAGGACAGAGGCGGTAAGTCCTCTAGGTGGCCCTCCTTCACAGACACACACAAAGGTCTCCACCAAAATATGATTGCTGGAAGCAAGGAAGAGAAAGGGGAGATGTCCCCATGCAAGATCACCCTGTCCCATGAGAGACCTGGCCTTATGGACACAG